AATTGTTTTTAGTTCACAAATTAAGAGAGAAAATGAATATAGACAAGGAAAAGGATTTGTTGACTTCTTTCATTCTCATATTTATATGCAATTTTTTCTGTTTGAGTGAAGTTTGTTTGTATTTACATATGTCATGAGTATTGATGAAAGTCCATTATTTAATATTTACATAAGTATGTTTTGACTCAAGTTTGTTAAATGCCTAAGTTGCAAGGTATATTTCCCATAAATCAGATTGTATGCATAATTGGTTTGCTGTTGTTTCCATGTTTGTAAGTGTTCTTCACGTCTTTGCCCACAAGTGTATGTACTATTTAGACCCCTGATTTTTCACAAAATGATAGTTGAAAATGTAGAGTTTGTATGGAAATTGACGAAATGTGCTAGTACAACCCATATTTATGAATAAGAAATCACTAATTTTTGTATGTCATGCAATTTATGGAACTAAATTATTGAATTAAAATTCATTTATTACCAGCTATTTGTTATATGAAGCATTAACCAATAAACTCTTTACGAATTGAAGTTGGACATATCCAACTAGTTCAAATCCAAAATCGAAAATCAATCCAAAAAATTATGAGGGCAATTAATCTATTATCATGAGAAATTATTGTCATAAAAAGTATTAGTTATCACTGCATTATGCCGTTATATAACTAAATTTTAATACCTATTATTTGTACATGCACAAACCATTGGGAAACCATTGCAAAAAGATTGGAGGTCCCATGCCGTTGCAAATGCATTTATGACACTTACATTTATGATGGACCATTTTTCATCACATCATCATTTCGAATACATGTTGCCACGGTTTGAGTACTCTATTATGGTGATTAATAACCATCACCTTCCACTAGTGCCATCATGCAAGTCACCCTTTTGATATTTGGGCATGTGCACTGAACATGCTCATTTAACGATTACATGGACGGAAAACGTAAATTTGGACAAAGTTTCAACTAAAACGAAAGCTTAAGGACGTTAACTCCAAAGACAAAAGGTTGGGGACAATTTTATTACCAATGCCAAAGATTGCGGATGGTGCGCTCAAATTAACCCAATTAAAAAAAAAAGGGGGAAATTAGGCCCAATACGGCCTGTATGGAACAAAATTGAAAAATACACTTTAAGCTAATTAAATAATTCCAAACGTAAATTATACATCAAAATCTCAACGAATTTTGCCAACTTCTCGAATCTCAGTAACAGGCGTTTCAAGCTACCGGAATCCAGACTTTGTGATCCTTCGATTATTGATACCAAACAATGAGCAACACGAGAGTAGTTTGGACAGGTTTAGATACAATTCTTCTGTGGTTAATTTTCCTCTCTTATTGATGATGGTTTCATCGAAAATAATTACACTTCCACACATTTTGATTGCATTTAATGCTTGAGAAGGAGATGGATACAAAAGTGTGTATGCATAGGTTGCTAAGAGAGATGTGGGATTTTCTTGATTTATAGAGAGAGACAGGTCTGTGAAGAAAAATTTAGACTTTATTTTGGGCTTTGAAAGACAAATTATAAGATAGCTCAAACAAATTGTCTACTAATTATATGTTATTTCACTGTGGTGTCAAGAAAAAATTTCCTCCTCAATAAAGAGGATTTATGTTTGTATGATTGTGTTTGTATTGAATAAATTTTATGTAAGTAGTAGTTGGACATTGTATGTTATTTGTTAATAAAAAAGTGACACTAAATTTTTAAAAGTGACATTGTATCACTTTTTTATATTTTGTCACTTTTTTTATTTTTTTTTGTCACATTTTAAGTTTTTTTTCACTTTTTTTAATATTTTTCACTTTTTTAAGAAGATAAAAAAGTGACATAATATGTTATATTTTTTTTTCTTAAACATAATCATCATGTAAATTGTTCGGAACATGATTACTAGTGCCGCACAAATGGATGGTGGTATTTTGGTGTTTGTCACTTTTTTTGAGTTTGTGTCACTTTTTTTTGAATTTTGTCACTTTTTTTGAGTTTGTCACTTTTTTTAAAAAGTAAAAAAAGCTGCAACTTTTATAAATGTCACTTTTTCATTTTATGCAGTATTTTTTACTTTCAAAAAACTTTTCATATGATTTTTCAAATCATCCCTAATTTTAAGGGTATTTTTGTAAGTAGCTCAAAAAAAATCATGGGTTCGGTCGGGTCAAAGAGGACTTTTCAAATGCCTTGCTGGGCCGATAACGTACAAAACAACACCCGCTTATTGACCAAAGCCCATTTCCTCAATATGTTCGTGAGAAATCGAATTAGGGCAAGATTTCTCCACTGATTGGATCCAAAATCTGAAATTCATTACCACATACAATAATCCAAACGACCCGAGTGTCTATTACCTATTAAATTCTAGAACTTCTATCAAGGTAATTGATTTCTGTATTGAGATTGCGAATTTTTGGAATGGAATCACTGTTAGTGGTTGCGGTATGTGTAACTAGTCCATGAATATGTTCAATTTGGTATTTCAA